CAAACTTGCATTGACAGAAAATTTCCACAGGGTGGCATTTGTGAACAGCCTGCTCCTGGTTCGCCCTTGGGTTGCTACTGCATAACCAATTGATTTGGAATAATAGGCTTTGGATTTGAACATGTAACTTTGTTCAACTAGATGTAATAATGCATTAAGAGTTGTTATGCATTGAGGATCTTGATGGGAAAATGGCCATTTTCGTCTCTAAACTTTTTTCTAGAGTCAACTTAGTCCCTAACTTTTATTTCTGGCCAATTTAATACATAAACTTAATTTTTGGATCCAATTAAGGACTTCTGTGGCGGCACCACCACCTAAAAGCAATTTATCTCTTAATTTAATATTAAACAAGTGTATTTTTGGAACTTCAGGTATGAATTGTAATCAAACTGAGTAAATTAAAAAATTATTAGTATTTGGGGTATTTTTAAATTTAAAACTTTTTGAAGGGATTTTTAATATTTTTAATTAACTTCTTAATTCTTCCTCTGCCTCACCCCTTCTTCCTCCTTGCCGCCACTGCCACCGCCACCGCCTCCCCTTCCTTGACTGGAGGCTGCTGCTGTTTTTGTTGGCTGCCTTTCGCAGCCGATTGGCCTGTGGTTGTGGGGTTGTTCCTTCTTAGTCTTTCATTGCTTGCCTGCTACAGAGGCTTTAGCAGAAGCAAGACAAGAAAAAGGTGCCGAATCACAATTTTCCGAATGCCAAATCAAGACAAGAAGGTGCCGAAGCTGAAGCAAGACAAGTCTTTCCGTATCAAGTCTTTCCAAATGCTGAATGCCGAATCAAGTCTTCATGCTGAATCAAGTCTTTTCGAATGCCGAATGCCGAAGCAAGACAAGAACAGCGCTGGCTGCTCTTGACGAGTTTGTTCAAAAATGTATTGGGAGTGAGATTCTCCAAGGTTTTGTGGTTGATGGGCTTGTTCAAAAATGTACTGGGAGTGAGACTCTCCGAGGTTTTGGGATTGATGGGTTCGTTCAAAACCGTAATAGGCGTCTAAATCTAGGGAGGTTTTGAAATGGTTTGCAATTGAACTAGAATCATGGGATCTATAGTGGTAGAAATTTATGGACCACAAACGTTGGAGAACAAAGGGTGATCTAGCAAGCTTGGGTTGTTGAGGATGAAGATCATTTTGGGAGTTTTGCTGGTGCTGATGGTTGTGGTGCTGTTTCTGGTTAGCTAAAGTCGAAGTAATTGCAATGGTACCAATCATGAGATTGAGGAGAACAAAGAGAACAGCAAGAGTAAACCAGCTGTTCATGGATGCCCAGATCGAAGGTATAGTGATTGACACAGATTCGCCAAACATCGTGCAACTTTTGTTCTTCAGAAATGAAGGGCTGGAATATTGGGGAACCCACTCGCCTGCACTTACAGATTTCCTCTTGTACTTTCTAAATTACAATGTAAACTCAAAGGTGGATGAAAAGAGAAGGATAAGAGGATGAGGAGGTGGTGGGTGGCTGGTGACGAAGGTTGACAGTGGAGAGGAGATAATTTGAAGTTTTTAAAAATGCTCTTGTTTAATGTTAAATTAGGAGATAAATTGCTTTTAGGTGGTGGTGCAGCTACAGAAGTCCTTAATTGAATCCGAAAATTAAGTTTATGTATTAAATTGGCCAGAAATAAAAGTTAGAGACTAAATCGACTCTAGAAAAAAGTTTAGGGACGAAAATGGCCATTTCCCCTGATCTTTATTTACTAAATAAAAATATCAATTTTGGATAATATAGTTTGAGTACTTCAAGGTTTTTCTATTGCCGAATTGATAAGTTTGGCGCAATCAAAATTACTATTTTGCAATTCTCTAAAGGCACACAAGAGAGAGAGAGCAAGAGCTTATGACCCACCTCGCAAAAGAGATCGAAAACAAACACCATGGATTTGAAAAGGAAAAAAAAAATCATAACTTCCCAAATATACATGCTCAAAAACATCAATTATCATTTTTATCGCTATCCCATGAGATGTTATCATTGATGATCTTTATTTAGTAAACAAGATTATCGATGTTGGATAACAATATTTTGACCCCAAGGTAAGTAATTTTGACATAACCATATTTAGGATTGCAAACAAACCAAACTAGTTACAAGCGTTTGTGAGTCGATTCAATCAAAACTTGACTCAAATTCGATCAAAATTGGGCTTGAGTTCGAGCACAGAAAAATTCAACTCATTAACTCACAAGCCGCTCGATTACATATATATATATATTTATTTATTTATTTATTTATTTATTTATTTTAATAAGAAAATTACATATATATCTAATATTTTATTATTTATTAAGAAACAAATACTATTTTATTCATTTTTTAAAAATAAAATAAATGTTTTTATTTTTTTAAGCTTGAGAAGACTTGAGTTTGAGCTCGATTCGACTATAATTTGAGGTCGAACTCGAGTTTGAATTCAAATTTGATAAAATTAAATCAAGATTCACCTTAACTAATCTTAAATTTTTCTTGACTCGACTCAATTCGTTTGTAACCCTATCCATATTATCTTGAAATTCTATAAGGTCACTGCACGCCAATACAGTGCAAGATCTTATGGCCGAATCTTGCAAAAGAAAATGCAAATAATCTATTGATATCTACACTTTTATGCCAATTGTTTATTTTTCTTCACTACAATAAAATGTTTTCTCAAATCAAATCATCCTTGGAAGGAGCAAGAAACTAAAAACGAACCAGTAATAAAATAAAAACCGATTCTTTACCACCAAACATTAATATAAATTCCCAGCACGGCCAGAATATGCAGCAGTAATAGTAGTAGTAGCATGACTACATATAACAACAATTCCGCAGCAACAAACCTCTAGATAAATAATTTTCATTTTCTTGGATAAATGAAGTGATTAGAGGCACACATTCGTAGGGAGACCCTAATAACCTTAGTGACATGACAATGTTGAACTCAAATAGCTGCTACAGATTTGCTATAGTAGAAAACAGAAAATGGTTCAAACCTTGCCTCCCACCAAAATGCCACATTTAAGTGATTTGCTTCAAAAAAAAAAAAATCCAGACGGATGTGTTGTGTTGGAAAAATGGCTATATCCATTGTAGAGTGAATGAGAAAATTTGTTCTCATAATGGCACTCTTGAAAGAATCCAGGATAATTATCTATCATTCATTCATGTATATAGGATTCATGTGTATTAATTATTGGTACGTGATTTTGGATAGGATATATGTACTTAATACATGATTTTGGAGTTATCTTATTAAGATACATGTATGTACATGAATGTGGTCCTTTGATAAACGTGAAGATAATTATCTGGAATTTAACATTTGTTGTCAATTTCTAACAGTCACCCTTGGCCAGCATCTATAAATATCTCTTTTTGTTTCAAAAGCAAGCGCGCTCTCTCTCTCTCTTTTTCCTTCTTGCATCTTCATCTTTTATAGTGTTCCATATTGCTCTAATTCGAGTTCGCTGTGGTGAAGAAAGTTTGGTGCTGACATATTTACCTTTAATCCGTTGTATCCTGGGAGACAGACGCCTACTTAACATCGAGCACTCTACCTGAAGGGGGCGAATCTGTTTTAAGGAAATTGTGCTCACAAGTCTCGGATTACTATTATTGTTATTTTCGATCATTATTTTCTTTCTAGGTTGTATTTATTCTTCTCTATAGTGTATCAACCTGTTTTTATTATTATTTTTTCTAACATGTTGTGCACCCGTTTGATCCAATGGTGGTTCAGTCCCCTTCGGATTATCTCTGAGCCTCCTTAGGTCCGCTTCCTCCCCTTTAGTGTACTATAGATTAGATTATATAACTGTTGTCGTTTCCGAAAAAAAAAAAAAACAAAAAATGGTGCAACGGTGCTTTATATGTAAAATGGCTGGAATTCAAAGTTTAGTGGTTTATATGTAACTGAATAAAAGTTTTTGGGGAGTAAATTTCAATTAGCTCCGTAAAAAGTCTAAGAGCTCGACTGGTTGATTGCAAACGACGTCGTCGTTATGTCGGCAGATTGCTTTTTGTCTTTGACAGATTGCTTTTTGTCTTTGAATAGGAGCTGTTCGGTAAAATGTCTCCAAAAGCTTACATGAACATCAGTCTTGATATAGTTGCTTTTGTTAGCGTAATTACCTAAGCCTACTCCAACAACGCTGATTAATTTCTTCTTCGGAATTCAGTTTATTACTCGGGAAATTATATACTGTACGTGCAGGATTTTCCATGTTTGCATAATCGCTGTGTCTAAGCCAGTAAAGAAATTTTTCAGAAGTATACTGCTGAATCTTTATGTTCTGGCAAAAAATGGAGCTGGGTTTGGGTAATTTGATGAAATACAGCTACGTTTCTAAGTTAATTTTTCCCTGGGTTGCTGGATATGCATATCCATCAGTAGTTTCTGCTTTTCTTTTTATCTTTGGTGTGGCAATTACCTTGCATGCTAAATTCCTGGAGGTTTCACTTTTGATCAAGTGTCTCGATTCTGTTATTAGAAATTGATAATCATGCCTTAATTCCTCAATGTTGTTCGAGGGATGGTTGCTTTAATTGAAGACTGAACTGGGACAGTGCTGAACCATGAACACAGTGATTCCCTCCAAATAGTGCTTCTTTTTTTGATGGTTAAGTCAATGGTTGAACGATTGAATTCCTTTCTTTTTTGGAATTACTACTTCTTGAATGAACTGATCTTGTTTCATCCTCTGGAATGGAGATCAACTTCAATAGGTCATACATGAACAAGTGCTACTTACTCAGTACCAAATTACGGTGATTCATTGATTACCAGTTATTTCTTTGTTAAGCCATCGCTATTCGACTTTAAATTGCAGGATTTTCTGTTTGTACGTTCCCAAGAAAAGTTCAGAACTTTGTTGCGCCAAACATGGCCAGTGCAATGTGGAGGATACAAACTGGAATTGGTAGATCATCGCATGGGAGACATGCAATTGTGAAGACAGCAGCAGCTCTAGGACGGGAACTTGCAGAAATGTCTGCAAATTTTTTAAGCTGAAGTCATGTATAGGCTTTGTAACATAACATAAAACATAGTAGTGGCAGAATCGGATTCTGAGTAAACTATAGATCAATGGTTCCCAAAACCAGATGACACACAAGTGTGACTATTTTAGAGGCTGCTTGTACAGAGAAGAGTGTAGTTAAGTTCTGGTTTCTGAAATTAACAGCTCACTTTGGTCAGACATTCTTATGCTTGGAGCTGAATTACTATTACAACAAATAATGCAGCACACTACAGCTAAAATTAAAGTGAGCCAGTAACATTGGCCTGCAATTTGTTAATCTGCTGATCAGAAAACAATCCCTTCTCCAGAACCCAATCTTCTATCATTGCCTGAGAATTAACTGCCTGATCAGTAGGCACAAGATGTCCAGCACCCAACACTACCACATGGCTTAAACTCCCCAGCTTCTGCACATAACCAGCTAATTTCCCATCCACCTTCCACACCTTCCTTGTTGCTTCCAAAAACTCTCCAATTTTCTCCCACTTCAATTTCTTCACCCACGCCTCAGTTGACACCACGCCGTCTCTCAAATCGCAGTGTCCCTGATACAACAAAACCTTTGTATTCTTAACCAAATAGTCAACCATGTATCTCACACTCTTCATCACATCTGCATGCAATACCTCGCCCACAGCATCACTACATACTTCAAAAACAATGCTTTCCTTCGCCCCTAGCGCCTTTCTGACCTCCACATTCGCTAAGAACTCGGCTACTAATTCATCTTGATAAGGAATTAGCCTTCTGAAATCATACAAAGTAGCCAAGCCAGTCATCTGCTGTAATTCGTCTAGCACCCTGCTTCTTGCATTTGTAGCCTCGCTCCAGTTGCGATTTTGAGTTAATTCAACAGCCTCCTTCTGAAGATCCTCCAACACCTTCTTCTGCTTATCGTTCACGAATCCAGAATAATAAGCATTCAAAGCATGAGTAGCCACTTGTGTAATAGGATCAGTCAGTCCATTCCCTATTGCAACTCCCTGCAAATTCAGCCTCTCAGAAACTGGCAACTTAGCATTCTGTTTCAATGCATAGTATCCAAATCCCGGAACATATTTTCCAGCATAACTCTCTCCAGTTACATAGACAGGCCTCGTCTTAAACGAATCATCCAGCATCAAAAACTTCTTGATCGCAATGAAAAGATGTTTCGCGACATCATGTTGATTTCTTGGGATTTCTTCAGGTGAAGCAGCAATGCTAAATCCAACTCCAATAGGATTATCAATAAAAAGCAGCCCAAAAATCCTATTCCAAGGCCCTGGATTAGGCTCAACTGACACGTTAGACGAAACCCGCCAGGGGCCGAGTTCATAGAAGTTTCCAAGCATGGAGGAGCAGCCAGGGCCACCTTGGAGCCAGATGAGAAGTGGGGTTTCAGAGAGGGGTGTGGTGGCCTTTTGTGCTTCATAAAAGGTGTAGAATATGGCTGATCCTGAAGTAGAGTTGATAGTCAGGTAGCCAGATTTTGTTGGCAGGGCTTCCTTGGGGAGAGGGGATGGTGTAGAGGATGAGATTCGAGGTGGTAGGTGGAGAAGAAAGGCGAGGAAGAGGAGGATATGGGGAAGAAATGAATCTTTCATTTCAGCCGGAGAGCGGAGTACTGACTACTGAGTAGGACTATACCAGTACAACAGCGGTCGTTGGATGGCATTTGCACTGAATTGATTGAAAGCCAGGATATATAACTGTAAAGTTGTCAAAGTCCGACAATTCAGAGGTTCTGGTCCCAATGAAATACTGGCAGATGGTGAGAAGATTTACCAAAGAAATTTGTGTAATTGCTGGATAGTGACAACGGGGAAATTGCAAATAAAAATAGCCCTGAACTGAAGTCTTCAATTCAGTACTGCCGCATCTTTGGAATATAGCATTTGGACCATGATTCTTCACCAAATTGGTCAATGGTCCAATTTCATCTAATCATATTTTTTAGCTTATAAAGTCATGGGCACGAGTTATGTCGTCCCATTTCATGTCTTCTTGCAGATTTGAGATTTCTTTATTGCGTCCAAGATTTTGATATTTTGTATTGAGGACTTGAGCATGAGCTTTATCGAGTAGGAAAGAACAGCCAATATGGAAATGGAGACCTCTTTAGGAACTTTCAGGCATAGGAAATTTATAGGTCAAAATCAAGTTCCAACACATTACAAGTCAATTTGGTGTTGGATTACATAAATTTTGGCATTGGACTCAATGGTCACTAAGAAAATCAAAATGTTTGTATTTCTTGGAAAAAGATTGACAAGGGGCAAGTTATGATATCTCGATATAAAGGGCATTTATATTTAATTTTGTACATTTAAAGGGCTTTTAGAGTTCGATTATTTGGTTAGTAATGCATTTGTGGCAAAATCGAAAGTCGTATAGATTGGATCAAGGCTAGATAAAGCAATTGATTTTCAGTTAAGTCAAATAAAAAACCAAGCAAGTGAATTTATGTCATTTTGTCTCGATTTGGATTTTAATTTGATTTTAATGAATAGTATAGTGCATCCCATTACCAACTTTTAATGCTAGAATGATAATTGAAAATGTGATTGAAGTTCAAATTGATCATTTTTTAAATATGAGGGACGAATATATAAATGAGAGAAATTTGAAGACTGCGTTATGAATGTGTGCCTCCCACACCACGTCCACAGCAGTAACAGGAAGTACTAGCTACTACTCGCCTATTGCGGCGTCGTTTTACCTGCTGATTCAGTCCATTGTCGTCCCCAGAGTTCTGCTGGAAACTCCGCTCTCGTTTCACCTGCTACTTTAGCTTCTCACAAGTAATTTTGTCTCCAGTCTCCCTCGTTCACACACATAAATTCACAGAATCTCGCATGTTTTTACGTGTAAAAAGAAAAACAAGTTGCATTTATATGCAAATAGCATACTATGAAGATGGACTGTTTGACAAAATGTCTGACTGAAGCTTTGCTTGTAGGAAATTAGATGGCCCTCTGGTGGTTACTGAACATGAATATGAGGCTCTATGAAGGGTGGAAGGAAATTTTGAAAATTCAGAAGTTCAGGAGAATAGTAGGTTACACTGGATTTTATTGTTTCACTGCCCTCATTAGCTATGCCTACACCAGCAACACGTAAGTTCAATCCCTTCTTACAGAAAATTTTGGATTACTTGAAAAAATGGAGAAATTTACGTGCAATAGCTTTCTGGGATTTTAAGTTATCGAAAAATTTAGAGCTGGGTTTTTATGATTTTGGTGAATATGGCTTGCTTTGGACCATTTAAATCCTGAAACTTATCATTTCAGAGGGGAAAAAAATAGAGAACGGAAAAGGATAGGCAAAAAAAGTGAAATGCATGCTTAATCATATTTGTGTTGTTAATCTGGTATTGCAGAACAAGGGCTGGGTACTCTAGGGGTGATCAATTCTATGCATCTTATCCGGCTGGCACTGAGCTCTTAACTGACACTGCCAAGGTACGTTGTATGATTGGGAATGTTATGTATTTTATGCTAATTATTGTTGTTTTGAGAAATATTTGTTGATTGTAGTGATGAATATTTGGTTTTCGATAGTTATACAAAGCGGCACTTGGTAATTGTTTTGAAGAGGAAGAGTGGGGACCTATTGAATGGTTGGTTTTGGCAAAACATTTTGAACGCCAAGGGAAATCTCCATATGCATATCATGCAGTAAGTCAAAAGTTTGATTACTATCTGCCTTTTTTCACCATATGCATATATAATGATAGTTATTGAGTTTGCACTTCTGAAAAGATGTCTCTATTCTGTTTTACAGCCTAACGATCTTTGTTTGAATAGCTCTATGTCGCTTGAAAGAATGGTTGGTTGTTGGGGAAAAATTGGTGCTAGTTTACAACATTGTGATTAATTCCGTACTCCATAGTGGTGTCCTGATGATTTTAGGCGTTGAATTAAAGGCTTATAGTTATGTCTTCTTTAGATGAGAACATCTTCTTAAATGAATATAGATGTCATGTCATACTGAGAAATTAAGATAAAATATGAGGTAGTGATAATTTGAGGTGCTATTCTGTGGTGCTTGTTCTTTTACATCTCAGTTTAGTCCAGTTAGTAAGCTGACTTTAGATTCTTGCCGAGGCCTTTGATCCACCCCAGTAAGGGTTCAATATCTTTCATGAGTTTCTAGAACCAACTGCACTGAACTACTTGCTCCACTAGGTGTAGAGAATTCTAGTCTGAAGCCGGTAATGGAAGAAACCCCACAGGACATGAATGCCTGAAGAAAAGGAAGCTTTGGCCTAATTGATGTTGCTGCAAATCTGATATATCCTTAGAAAGACTTTCAAAATTTCTTGTTAGTCTTCTCAAAAAGTCCACTGTTAGGTCGCGGACAAGTATAATTACTCATGTCTCATCAACTAGTAAAATATGTTTGTGTATCTCCATGTGGTCTGCTAGAATCCAAATTTTAGAATACTGCATGTTTTTAGAACTGCTGATTCTTTTACATATAATGCTTATTCTGAAAATATACTAGTGTCTTATCCAATAAAGCTTCTTCTTCTTCCTTTTTTTTAAGGAAAAAATTTATATAAGGCTGCAAACTTTATCGTGTTTGTTCCTTCTGGTAAGGTAGTAGTTGTGGATGGTTTTGCACCCTTTGATCTAACTAATATTCTGAAACAATCTTTCATTGCTGCAGCAATACATGGCACACCTTGCCTCCCATGGACAAGTTGATGGAAGTGGTTAGCCAGTGATCAGTGGTTGCCCCAAAGATGCCAACAGTCAGCAGTAATAATATGTTACGGAGGACAATGCGACCAAAGCGAAAGAAGGAACACATGCTCTTGATTAATGACTTCAAAGTGCAATCTGATTCACAGAGAAGTATGTTGTATACTTTTTAGTTGCACAAACAAATTATCCACAACTCAACAAAATGTGCATCGTAAAGCTGAAGTTTGTGCGTCTTCCATTACTTGGTTGTAGCTTCCCTAGAGGTGCAAGTAGCAGTATCATTTACTTCCTAGAGCTTCCCCTCGAGGGCAGAAATCCACCGATGGAGTATATTGTTTATCCTTTCAGAACAATCCGTTTGTAGTTACATTTGACAGCTATGCAGTGATTGAGGATATGGTTTATCCTTCCACAATATTTTCTAAGGTTTGAGGGGATGCAGAATGCTCTGATGGAGTATATAGTTTATTCTTTCATAAAAATCCGATTGTAGTCACATTTGCTGGCTTGTGGGGAAGCAGAGATGTACTGATTGAAAATATGGTTTATCCTTCCAGAACAGTTTCTTTGTTCTGTTTTCAGCACAAAAGAACAACATATGCAGAGCTAAACAAGAATAAAACACCTAATCTGGTTGAGGCCAATTTAGATCAGGCATTGACTTCATTGTTGATTTCTTCCAAGCAATGATTATGCCGATTTGAAACGAATGACTATGTCAATTTGAAACGATACATTCTTTTCAGGTTCTAGCCACAAATTTGCGGAATTCTTTCTGCCTTCTAAAGCTTTTTAATGTACTGATTTGCAAAGGTGTAGTGTGCATGGTGTGCCAGCACTTGATACATTGACCAGAACAAGGACACAGCACAAAGATTTCACAAGTCAGAAAAGAAAATCAGTAACGTGATTCCTATTAAGTTACATCAGAATGATTGTTGACAGTTTAACAACAATGAAAGTGGTAAAGTTGGTAGCATACATCAGCAACTACAGAATGACACTTGAGACATTAGCAACAAATCTAATTAGCCAAACTAAACCTATCAAGCATACAAAGCTGGCACCTTCTCTGACAATCCACCAATCCCATTCATGCGTTGCTTGGAAAGTGCATCCTGGGGGCAATGCAGATAGAAAAGAAAGCACAATTTAGAACTATCATTCTTTTCATGCTCGCATTTGAATCCCTGTCGCATAACTTTGAATTTAAACTAGAAGAATAAGAAGAATAAACTCAACAGCAGTGTGGTTCCCCACCCCTAGAACGGATGGAGGAGGAAAATAGGGAAAAAGGAGAAGACCTCCAACCCTTACCGATTGGAGAAAATTGGAAAAAATAAAAATTCAATTGGGTATATTAGGCTTCTTTTAGTGAAGATTGGTGTTTTCCTCTTTCTCGCTCATGCTCACTGAAGCACCACTACACTAGCACACCAAGTTTTTTTTCAAGTGGTCTATTTGCTTGATCCCCTTTTTTGTATTCGTTTAGTTACTGTTGACAAGGCCATACATCATAGGGTATAGGACACTTACCTCACAACCGCCACTTTTAACTTCAATGCACTTGGAAGCACTAATACTAGAACTTCTTAATATACAACGTGCACTATAGCATGGTCTACTACGGCAATTGGGCAAAGCAACCATACTAGAATTAGCAGATTCTGATTCTTTCTTCTCCTCTGATCTTGGAGGGCTCTGGAGGCAAGTACGTGCAACAGCATCCATTGCATGTTTTTCGAGTTCTTCTTTCTGGTCTGGATCCTCGTCTATAGGTGCACAAACCCTCTCCCTGTTGATAGAAGAAAAGGCTGGTCATGAAAAAGGGGACCTCAGATTCTTCTACATTACATTTAGTCACATGCGGAACACCTCACCTGGGCAAAGAAGCATACCGCCTCAGTAGTGGAAGCCTTCGCATTCCTTTACCAAAGTGCCCCTCAAGATGGTCAAATTGCCGCTTAAATTGATCAATCCCACTGA